AGGCATGAATAAAAAACAACATTGTTATTAGCAGAATAAATTAGTAATTTTTGCTTACACTGTAAATTTTAAATGTATTCTTTGTGGCCCAATAGAGCCATGACTTTATTTTTGAAAACTCATGCTTGCAGAGACACTAAAATTTCAAGATGTTGAATGACGTGTGCAGTAATACCTCAATTACTTAAACTCATCAGGAAATGAGTTATTTTGTATATGCAAGTTATGTTCAGAAAAGAAAAAATGAACTTTTTTTCCCATAGGAAATGAGGTCATATGAAAAAGATACCTGCACACACGTTTGTAGCAGCATAATTTGCAATTGCAAAAATATGGAACCAGGACAAATGCCCATCAATCAACGACTGGATGAAGAAAATGTGATATATATATATATATATATATATATATATATGTATGGATAGATAAATAGATAGATAGATAGATCATGGAATACTACTCAGCAATAAAATGGAATAAAATAATGCTTTTGTAGCCACCTAGATGGCATTGGTGACCATTATTCTAAGTGAAGTATCCCAGGGAAAAAAAAAATGGTCATGGGCTTTGGAACTGGATTCTGGTCTTGACATGGTCATTTATTAGTCAATTGTCTTTGGAAATTAGTTTAATTCACCTAAGCCTCAGCAGCTTCATATGTTCAATGAAAATTATACGTAACACATGGAGTTATTTTAAAGCTCAAATGGGAAAATGATGCCTCAGCAAGAATTGGAGAGCATATTTGGATTAAGATAATTTGAGGAGAGTTGAATAAAAAGACGCTTCATAAAAGTGGGAGCAAGGCTTAAGGAGACCACATAGGGCAATGGAATGCCCTATGACCAGTATTAGTGGGCATCACTATCGGTGGTGGGCAAGGAGGTGGAGGCCGTTACCAGAAAAAAAAAAAAAAAAAAAGAGATTTCTATAATAGTGATTATTGAGATTTCCCAAAGTCAGTTTTGGTAATTTGTCTTCTAAATTGTGCAATTTATCTTTTCAAATTTATTGCCATAAAGTTTTTATTTGCTTATCTATACTTTATCTATATCATTTATTAATTTCTAATATTCTTTTTTTTGAGACAGGGTCTCACCCTGTTACCCAGAATGGAGTGCAGTGGATCTAACTTGATTCTTAATAAAGTAAACTATCCTTTGTCTCTGCTTGTTTTAAAATTCTTCGCCTTGGTATATTACGGGTTCATTAGTCTAAGTTCAATTTTATATTTATTTAGCTCATAATTTCATAATTTGGAGCATACTTTTACTCAAAGAACTTTGTCATTCATGAGTTCAAGGAAGTTCAAAGCTATTGTCTTCAAATATTATCTTCTTGGTTGGGTGTGATGGCTCATGCCTGTAATCCCAGCACTTTGGGAGGCCAAGGTGGGCAGATCACTTGAGAACAGGAGTTTGAAACCAGCCTGGCCAACCTGGTGAAACTCTGCCTCTACTAAAAAATACAAAAATTAGCTGGCTGTGGTGGCACACAGCTGTAATCCCAGCTACTTGAAAGACTGAGGCATGAGAATTGCTTGAACGCGGGAGGCAGAGGCTGCAGTGAGCCAATATTGCGCCACTGCACTTCAGCCTGGGTGACGGAGTGAGACTGTCTCAAAAACAAAAACAAAAATAAAACAACCAAATATTACCTTCTTGTATTCTCTTTATTTCAGTATGTATTTTTAAATTACACAAGTGTTTTTCTTCGTTTTTTGAGATGGAGTCTTGCTCTGTCGCCCAGGCTGGAGTGCAGTGGCGCAATCTCAGTTCGTTGCAACTGCTGCCTCCGGGGTTCAAGCGATTCTCCTGCCTCACCCTCCTTAGTAGCTGGGACTACAGATGTGCACCACCACACCAGGCTAATTTTTGTATTTTTAGTAGACACTGGGTTTCACCATATTGGCCACACTGGTCGTGAACTCCTGACCTCAAGCAATTCACCTGTCTTAGCCTCCCAAAATGCTGGGATTACAGGCTTGAGCCACTGCACCTGGCCAACTTTCTTATATTCTCTTTATCTTCCTCAGCTATGTTGTGTATAATATCCTCAGATCTATCTTCTAGTTTATAAATTTTCTTCAACTAATATTATGTTAAACTTGTCCAAGATGTTTTTAGTTTCATTGACAACATTTTTTATTTTGAAAGCTCTGGAATTTTTTTCACACCTCTCTGTTCTTTGTCAGTAGCTTCTTAGTTTTCATTATGGATATTAGCCTATCTTTGCTGTCTTTAAGTAAATATGTTTAAAATGATTAGTCTCTTTCAGATTGTTGTGTTATTTCAAAATCTTGGGGAGCTAGTCGTCTTATTTGTTGTGTCTGCTGATTTTTCCTTATACTGTAACCTCTGCCTCCCAGGTTCAAGGGAGTCTCCTGCCTCAGCCTCCTGAGTAGCTGGGATTACTGGCGTATGCCACCAGGCCTGGCCTCTTGTGAATTGTGCCTTTTTGCCTGATCACTCATCTTCAGCAAAAACTTCTTTGTGTGTGCATGTGAGGAAATATCATGTATTCTTATTTGCAAAAGACTTGCTTATGAGGAACACCTGGAGCTTCAGTTTCTCACTAGAGACATTTTTTCCAAACTTTACTTTCTAAGACTAGTGAGCAGAGATCTTATAGCATTCTTTTCACTAAGAGTGCTGCCCTTCTATGATTCTGGTTTCATTTCCACCTCCCTACCTCTGTACCTATATCAGCATTAAATTTCCAGTCTCCTTCCTTTGATATTAATCTATTTACATGTAAAATCTTTCCAAACAGCTTTACGTCAGCTTTTGAGATGATCCAGCCTTTAAATTTGGTGATGAGGCATTTACTTACTTTTGAAACTGAACTATATATTGAACCTTTCATTTATTTATTTTTTATCAAGAATTTTTATGTGTTCATAGTATTTTACCTGTTCATAAAATTGCATGTAAAACTTAGTAAAAGTTTTAACTTGTGTTGCTATTAACAGCAAATTTCTTTTTTATGTTTAATAGAAGAGTATGTAAATTAGATATGTGAGTTTGAAAATTATGTATCTTATTTTTACTGTCACTAGTGGTCACTTTAATATTTTTCATAAACCCATAAAGATGTTTATTTTTCTATAGCAAAATAGTTTTTGTTAGTTCTCCTCACGGCTAATAGCAATGATTTCCTGCATGTTCTACATCATATGAATCATTAGTAATCTGAAGTAAAATGAAGTATACTTCATTTTTACTTTTTATCCTTTGTGTGTGTGTGTGTGTGTGTGTGTGTGTGTGAGATGGAATTGCACTCTGTCGCCTAGGCTGGAGTGCAGTAGCACGATCTCAGCTCACTGCAACCTCCGCCTCCTGGATTCAAACAATTCTTCTGCCTCAGCCTCCCAAGTAGCTGGGATTACAGGCAACCGCCACTGCACCTGACTAATTTTTTCTATTTTTGGTAGAGATGAGGTTTCACCATGTTGGCCAAGCTGATCTCAGACTCCTGATCTCAAGTGATATGCCCACCTTGGCCTCCCAAAGTGCTGGGATTACAGGACGAGTGCCTGGCTCTATTTTCCTTCTTTTGCATTACCATTTAAAAATATTATTTACAGGCTGGGTGTTGTGGCTCACACCTGTAGTCTCAGCACTTTGAGAGGCCAAGATAGGAGGACTGCTTGAGACCAGGAGTTCAAGACCATCCTGGGCAACAAAATAAGATCCCATTTCTGCAGAGAACAAGCATACAAAGCAAAAATTAGCCAGGTATGGTGGTGTGCACCTGTAGTCTCAGCTACTTGAGAGGCTGAGATGGGACAATATTTTTAGTGTGTTCTCCACTGCTTTAGAAAAGCCGTTCTTTTTCACTTTTGCCCTCAAGTTCCCCACTCCTGGGTTCTTAATGTTATTTCTCCGTGTTCTGGAACATTTCCTTGAGTAATGTATTTAGAAAAGCTGACTAGGTAGTGTTGGCATTTGCCATCATGAGTGAGCAACAGTATACTCAGATAGAAAATTATTAGGACTTTTTATTAGGTAGGTTCAAGCTGAGCATTGTAAAATAAAGATCCAAGTGTACAGACCAAATAAAGATGAAAATTTAGTTCTCTTTAATGTAATACTGTGTTAGACAACAGTGCTCAATGACTGTGTTCATAAGGCCATCCTGGCTGGCGGGATCACCTCTTTTATCACATTATTTGGCTTTCATCTTTGAGCCTATGAGGCCTTTTCCCCTCCTTGCCCCACTCCTTTGAAATGTCGTCAAGACCCTTTACTAGGTTTTGTTTGTTTGTTTGAAACGGAGTCTCACTCTGTTGCCCAGGCTAGAGTGTAGTGTCGTGATCTTGGCTAACTGCAATCTCCACCCCCCAGGTTCAAGGGAGTCTCCTGCTTCAGCTTCCTGAGTAGCTGGGATTACAGGTGTGCACCACCAGGTCTGGCTAATTTTTGTATTTTTAGTAGAGACAAAGTGTCACCATGTTGGCCAGGCTGGTGTTAAACTCCTGACCTCAGGTGATCGGCCTGCCTTGTCCTCCCAAAGTGCTGTGAGTACAGGCGTGAGTCACTGCACCCATCCTTGCCAGTTCTCATTAGTTCTCTTTGATGGCTAAAACCTTTTACGCTAACATAAGAAAGTAGATAGGAGATAAAGTATATAGGAGCTATTGCTATAGAGTTTAAGGAGATAGAGTTGGTATTGGCAGTGCTGGTTTTGCCTATGTTCCCTTCTCTAGAGTTGATGTAGTTACCTAGAGTATCCTCTCTTGGAGTTGATGTGAATTAAGTACTGTGGTTTTAAAAAGAGAACCCTAGAAAAGTAGCGGGGGCCATTGATAAAGAACAGGTAGGTCATTAGTTGCCCTATTTTCAGTGCTAAATTTTGCATTTTTTCTTGAAGAAAATATCTTTGATTTATTTGTTTAGGATTTGGGGGTTAGCTTTGATGTGTAATTACTTTAAATGTCAGTTGATTGTTAACTAGACAATGAGAAATAAGTGACTGACTTGCTACCATTGTTTTTGAAGGGAGAAATTCAGAAAATATATTTACTGAGAAGTTAAAGGAAGACAGTATTCCTGCTCCTCGCTCTGTTGGCAGTATTAAAATCAACTTTACCCCTCGAGTATTCCCAACAGCTCTTCGTGAATCACAAGTAGCAGAAGAGGAGGAGGTAGATATACTTACTGTAGTTACAACTACCACAAATTAAAATGCTTTGTTTTTATTTCATCCATGGAAACTAGAATTGGTTCTGAATTTCTTTTTTTTTGTTGTTTAATCGCCATGAATATCCATCCCTCACCCACCGCAGATAGGTCGCGGCCAGGGAGAGCGTGATGTCACCACATCGATCGGAAAACTGAATTTCTTAAGTATTTATTATACTAAAGATATAACATCATGAATGTATTTTGGAATTTCCTTATGAGAAAATATATTTTGCAGGTATTTTTTGCCTCAAGAATAGTGATAAGAGAACACTGATTTAATATATGTACAGTAGAGCGTGGAGGGCGTGGAGGTTCAAGCCTGTAATCCCAGCACTTTGGGGACCGAGGTGCTGGTTCACTTGCGCGACCCCACTACTGATCAGCACGGAAGTTTTGACCTGCTCCGTTTCCGACCTGGGCCGGTTCACCCCTCCTTAAGCATCCTGGTGGTCTCCCGCTCCTGGGAGATCACCATATTGATGCTGAACTTAGTGCAGACACCCGATCGGCATAGCGCACTGCAACCCAGAACTCCTGGGCTCAAGCGATCCTCCCACCTCAGCCTCCCGAGTAGCTGGGACTACAGGCACGCGCCACTGCGCCCAGCCAAATACATCATTTTCTATAATGTTGATAGATTTATAAACTCTGGATCAGTATGTATTTCGGAAGGAAGATACTTGGAAATTATTAATATATCATTACAGCTAATTATTACCAATAACAGGTATTTCTAATGTGACATTTGAGAATTAATATCTTTCATGCATTTATAAATTCCTAAGCCGTAGATTTCAAATATTGTATCTTTAGTTATATCAGCTTAAGAGCTGCATTTTTTTGGCCAGGTGCAGTAGCTCATACCTGTAATCCTAGCACTTTGGGAGGCAGAGGTGGGAGGATTGCCTGAGGTCAAGAGTTTGAGACTGGCCTGACCAACATTTTGAAACCCCATCTCGACTAAAAATTCAAAAAATTATCCAGACATGGTGGTGAATGCCTGTAATCCCAGCTACTTGGGAGGCTGAAACAGGAGAATGAATTTAGGAGGAGGAGGTTGCAGTGAGCTGAGATTGCGCCATTTCACGCCAGCCTGGGCAACAAGAGCAAAGACTCTGTCCCCCCCAAAAAAAGGACTGCATTTTTTTTTTGAGACAAAGTCTTATTCTGTTGCCCAGGCTGGACTGCAATGGTGCAATCTCAGCTCACTGCAACCTACGCCTCCTGGGTTCAAGTGATTCTCCTGCCTCAGCCTCTCTAGTAGCTGGAATTACTGGCATGAGCCACCACACCTGGCTGATTTTTTGTATTTTTAATAGAGATGGGGTTTCACCATGTTGGTCAGGCTGGTCTTGAACTCCTGACCTCAGGCAGTTCACCTGCCTCAGCCTCCCAAGTGCTGGGATTACAGGCATGAGCCACCACACTTGACCAAGAACTGCATTTTTTTACTGCAAGGCTGAATTGATACGTCTTTCAATTGAAAAATTGTAGAAATAACAGGCTCCTTAAGACACAATGACAATATAAATATTAATTATTTCATGGTATTAAACAATGTATTTTTCTGTATTTTTAACATTTCTATAATTACACAATTATAATCATTTTAAAATTGTGTGTGTATGTGTACACACACCAGACACACCTTTTCATTTTTTTTTTTAGAGTTGGGGTCTTGCTCTGCTGCCCAGACTGGAGTACGGTGGTGCAATCATGGCTCACTGTTGCCTTAAACTCTTGGGCTCAAGTGATCTCCCTGTATATTTTTCAGTATAGAAAAATAAAAATACTATAGCCAAGAAAGGTAAAATAATAATCACATGGGCTGGGCATAGTGGCTCACGCCTGTAATCCCAGCACGTTGGGAAGCCAAGGCAGGCAGATCACAAGGTCAGGAGTTCGAGACCAGTCTGGCCAACATAGTGAAACCCCGTCTCTACTAAAAATACAAAAATTAGCTGGGCATGGTGGCACACACCTGTAATTCCAGCTACTCAGGAGGCTGAGGCAGGAGAATCCCTTGAATCTGGGAGGTGGAGGTTGCAGTGAGCCGAGACCATGCTACTGCACTCCAAGCCTGGGTGACAGAGGGAGACTCCATCTTGGGGGAAAGAAAAACCAAAAAACAAACAAAAAGCCATCATCAAATAGTATGTTAATCTACTCTGGCTGCTATAAACAAAGTGCTACTATAGACTGGGTGGCTTAAACAACAAACATTCATTTCTCATAGTTCTGGAGGCTGAGAAATCCAAGATCAGGGTGCCAGCATGGTTCTGGGTAGGGTCCCATCATAACTTGTAGACAACCACTTTGTCATTGTGTCCACATGGTGGGTGGGGAGCTCTGATCTCTTTTTCTTCTTATAAGGATGCGAAACTCATTTTGGCGGCTCTCCTCTCATGACCTCAACCTAACTACCTCTCAGAGGCCCCACTTCCAAGTACTGATTCATACTGATGGCTAAGGCTTCAATATATGAATTTGGAGGAGAGGTAGGGAAGACACAAACATTCAGTGCATAACAAATATTTCCATCCATTGGAGGAAAATGAAAAATCTAAAAGGAAATGATAATAAAAATAAAACCTTCGTTTTTTTCATGAGACTTCTTTCTTATTCTAGTGGCTACACAAACAAGCCGAGGCTCGAAGAGCAATGAATACTGACATACCTGAACTTTGCGATTTAAAAGAAGAAGAAAAGAACCCAGAATGGTTGAAGGATAAAGGAAAGTAAGTTGTTTGAACTCTGACCATGAGCTTTATCATGTGTGAAGACAGTAGTAGTTATCACAGGATGAGTATGGTGGCTCGTGCCTGCAATCCCAGCCCTTTGGGGAGGCTGAGGTGGGATGATCACTTGAAGCCAGAAGTTCAAGACCAGCCTAGGCAACAAAGTGAGTTTTTGTCTCTACAAAAAACAAACAAACAAAAAACATTAGTCCGGTGTGCTGGCAAGCACCTGTAGTCCCAACTACTCAGAAGGCTGAAGCAGGAGGATCCCTCCATCCTAGGAGTTCAAGGTTGCAGTGAGCTATGATTGTGCCACTGCATTCCAGTCTAGGCAACAAAGTGAGACCCTGTCTTTGGACAAAAAAAGCAGTTACCACATTTTCTAGATGTGGTGTCTGTGCGTGTGTTGTTGGAGAAGGATATTTTGAATAAGCAAATGAGGTAGACAGGGCCTCCATATTTAAAAAGTAGGATAACAAGTAAGTCATTGAGGCTCTAGAGATTTTCTCTTTTTTTTAATGTCATAAAAATGAAAAAAAAATTACAGCGTTTGGAATGCTTATTAAAATAAATTCCTTTTAAAATCTCTTTTACAGCTGGGTGCAGTAGCACATGCCTGTAGTCCCAGCTACTTGGGAGGCTGAGGCTGGAGGATCGCTTGAGTCCAGGAGTTCTGGGTTGTAGTGCGCTATGCCAGTGGGTGTCTGCACTACGTTCGGCAGCAATATGGTGACTTCCCGGGAGCAGGGGACCACCAGGTTGCCTAAGGTGGGGTGAACCGGCCCATGTCGGAAACGGAGCAGGTCATAACTCCCGTGCTGACCAGTAGTGGGATTGTGCCTGTGAATAGCCATTGCACTCCAGCCTGGGCAACATAGTGAGACCCTGTCTCTAAAAATTAAAAAAAAAAATGGAAAAAAAAATCCCTTTTACATTTGACATACGTCCTTCCTGATGACTCCGATAAAAACAGGCTTTTTGGAAAGCTAGCACTATTTTGATTATTCATATCCATTTTTTTTCCTTTTTTTTGTTTTGAGATAGAGTCTTATTCTGTCACCCCAGGCTGGAGTATAGTGGCACAATCTCAGTTCACTGCAACCTCCACCTCTCAGATTCAAGCAATTCTCCTGCCTTAGCCTCCCAAGTAGCTGGGATTACAGGGTCTACCACCACGCCTGGCTAATTTTTTTGTATTTTTAGTAGAGACAGGGTTTCACCATGTTGGCCAAGCTGGTCTCAAACTCCTGACCTCTAGTGATCCACACACCTCAGCCTCCCAAAGTGCTGGCTGATTACAGGCATGAGCCCTAGTGCAGGACTTATTCAAATCCATTTTTAAAAGATTAATATATTATTGCCTTTCAGATCAGTGGTGTAGAAAGAAAAAAGATTACCATATTATCCCATAAATTACTTTATATTTGGGTAATGATTTTATTCATTTGTATATGGCTCTCTGTGTGAATATTTTAACATACTGATCAAAAACAGTGAATTCTGGTATATTCTGAGTGGAAATTTATGTTCATATTTCAAGGCAGCTATAGACATTTATTATATTTCATCATACACACGTCTATGTTTATTTTCCTATTGCTTCTGTAATAAACTACCACAAAGTTAGTGGCTTAAAACAACACAAATTTATCTTTTAGTTCTGGAGTTCAGAAATCCAGAATGAGTTTCAGTGGGCTAAAATTAGGTGTCAGTTGCTTTCCTTTTAAAGGCTCTAGGGACCAATCTGTTTTCCTAAATTTCCAGCATCTAAGCTGCCTGCATTCCTTGGATTGTGGCCCCAGCCACTGGTTGCATTGTTCTGACCTCTGCTTCCACGGTCTCTTCTCCTTTTCTGACTCTCCTGCCTCCTTTCTCTTATAAGGCCTCTTGTGTTTACATTAGTCCTACCTACTTGATGCAGGGTACTCTCTCCATCTCAAACTCTAAATCAATCACATCTGCAAAGTCCTCTTTGCCACGTTCGGTAACATTCATAGGTTCTAGGATTAGAATGTGGACATCTTTTGTTGGTGTGGGGGGAGCATTATCTGTCTACTACAATGTCTATATTTTTCTTTCCTTTCTACTTTTTCTTGTTTTTTTCTCTTGTCTGTTACAACACAAGGGATTGTCTAGTGGAGTTTAGCTGGATTTGGCAATTTTTCTGAAGGTTAGAAGCTGGGAACTGACAGTTTGGTTCTTCTAACTCCCAAGAGTAAAACCATATATAATCTTTTCTCCTCCTTCTCTTCTTCCTTCCTTTCTTCCTTTGTATTCATTATTTAGTCGTTAAATAAGCAATTATTGATTGCTTGCTATTTGCCAGACTATAGGCATTGAATGAGAGAAATCAGGAGGAGAGAGGCATACACAAATACTTAAAATACTGTGTGGGAAGTGCAATAACATGGATAAGAACAAGGTAATACGGGGTAGGCATGGTGGGTCACGCCTGTAATCCCAGCATTTTAGGAGGCTGAGGCAGGCAGATCACCTGAGGTCGGGAGTGCGAGACCAGCCTGACCAGCATGGAGAAACCCCATCTCTACTAAAAATACAAAATTAGCCAGATATAAAAGGCATGGTAGCTCATGCCTGTAATCCCAGCACTTTGGGAGGCCACAGTGGGTGGATCATCTGAGGTCAGGAGTTTGAGACCAGCATGGCCAACATGGTGAAATGCCATCTCTACTAAAATACAAAAAATTATCCAGGCATGGTGGTGGGCGCCTGTAATCCCAGCTACTTAGGAGGCTGAGGGTAGATGATTGCTTGAACTCGGGATGCAGAGGTTGCAGTGAGTTGAGATCGAACCACTGCCCTCTAGCATGGGTAACAGTGAGACTCCCATCTAAAAAAGAAAGAAAAAGAGAGAGAGTAAAAGAGAGAGAGAGAAAGGGAGAGAGAGAGAGAAAGAAAAAAAGAGAGAGGGCCAGGTGCCGGTGGCTCACGCCTGTAATCCCAGCACTTTGGGAGGCAGAGGCAGGTGGATCATGAGGTCAGGAGGTCGAGACCATCCTGGCCAACATGGTGAAACCTTGTCTCTACTAAAAAAAATACAAAAATCAGCTGGGCATGGTGGCAGGTGCCTATAGTCCCAGCTACGTGGGAGGCAGAGGCAGGAGAATCACTTGAACCCAGGAGGTGGAGGTTACAGTGAGCTGAGATTGTGCCACTGCATTCTAGCCTGGGCGACAGATTCAGACTCCATCTCAAAAAAAAAAAAAGGAAAAAAATAAAGAGAAAGAATTGGGCCTTTACCTAATACCATGTACAAAAATAACTCAAAATGGATCAAAGACCTAAATGTAAGGACTAAACTATAAAATTCTTAGAAGAGAACACAGGGTGCTTCCTTACATTGGATTTGGTAAAGTTTCCTGCATATGACTCCAAAACAATAGGCAACAAAAGAAAAAATGGTTAAGTTGGACCACATCAAAAATAAAAATTTTGTACATTGACGACACTATAAACAGAGTAAAAAAGCAACTCATGGAATAGCGAAAATATTTGCAAATTGAGAATATATATGAGCTACTCTTCAACAACAAAACAACCTAATTTAAAAATAAGCAAAGAGCCCAGAGCCACCACTCACACCTGTAATCCCAGCTTTTGGACAGGCCAAGGTGGACAGATCACTTGAGGCCAGGAGTTCGAGGCCAGCCTGGCCATCATGGTGAAACCCTGTCTCTACTAAAAATAGAAAATTTGCAGGGCATGGTGACTCACACTTGTAATCCCAGCTACTCTGATTCTCTCAGCTATGAGAATCACTTGAATCTGGGAGGTAGAGGTTGCAGTGAGTTGAGATGGCACCACTGAACTCCAGCCTGGGCAACGGATCAAGACTCTGCTCAGAAATATAATAATAATTTTTTAAAAAATAAAAATGACCAAAGAACCTAAATAGGCATTTCTCCAAAGAAGACAAATGGTTAGTATGAAAAAATGTTTAGTATTGCTAACCATTTGGGAAATGCCTGTCAAAACCACTATGAGATGCCACTCCCCACCCTTTAGGATGGCTACGCAGAAAAAAAACCAAAAAACAGTAAATAACAAGTGTTAGTGAGGATGTGGAAAAATTAGAATCCTGTGCATTCTTGGTAGAGGTGTAAAATGATACAGCTGCTATGGAAAACAGTATTGTTGCTCAAAGAAGTAAAAATAGAATTTTTGTTTTCTTTTTCTGAGATAAGGTCTGGCTCTATAGCCCATGCTTGAGTGTAGTGGTGTGATCTTGGCCCACTGCAACCTCTACCTCCCAGGCTTTTCAGCCATCCTCCCACCTAAGCCTCCCAAGTAGATGGGACTAGCTAATTTTTATAGTTTTTGTAGAGACAGAGTTTTGCTATGTTACCCAGGCTGGTCTCAAACTCATGAGCTCAAGCAACCTGTCCACCTTGGCCTCCCAAAGTGCTGGGATTATAGGTATAAGCCACCACACATGGCCAAAAATAGAATTGTTATATCATCTAGTAATTCCAATTCTGGGTGTATACCCAAAAGAACTAAAAGCAGAATCACAAACAGATAGTTGTACACCCAGGTTCATAGCAATAACACTCAAAATATCCAAAACATATAAGCAACCCAGGTGTCCATTGAGGGATAAATAGATCAATAAAATGTGTCATATCCATAACAATGCAGTGTTATTTCAGCCTTAAAAAGGGAGGAAATCCTGTCACATGCTACAGCATGGATGAACCTTGAAGACATTATGCTAAATGAAATAGGCCAGTCACAAAAGGACAAATGTATGATTTCACTTATGTGAGGTACTTAGAGTGGTCAAACTGACAGAGACAGAAAGTCAAATGGTGGTTGTGAACGACTAGAGAGGAGGAGGATCGGAGAGTTACACTCTAATGGGTATGGAGTCTCAATTTGAGAAGATGAAAAAGTTATAAACATGGATGGTGGTGATGGTTGTACAATGTAAATGTAGTTAATGTCACTGAATTTTACATTTTAAAATGTTTAAAGTGGTAAATTTTGTTATATATATTTTACTACAGTTTAAAAAATAAAAGTCCAGGCATTGTGGCTCAAGCCTGTAATCCCAGCACTTTGGGAGGCCAAGCTGGTGGAACACAAGGTCAGGAGTTCAAGACTGGCCTGATCAACATAGTGAAACCCTGTCTTTACTCAAAATACAAAATTTAGCTGGGCATGGTGGCTGTGTAATCTCAGCTACTCAGGAGGCTGAGGCAGGAGAATCGCTTGAGCCTGGGAGGCAGAGGTTGCAGTGAGTTGAGATTGTACCAATATTCTCCAGCTTGGGTGACAATGCGAGACTCCGTCTAAAAAAAAAAAAAAAAATTTTTGTTGTAGACACTGCAGGTTACCTAGCCAATATTTATTATCTCCCTTTATCCTTATTGGCTGAGCCCATATTTTGTTTATGTGTGCAGACCTTGCCCGTATGACTTAGGATGGTGACCTTATTCCAAGTTCAGGGATAAATTCTCATTGACTTCAACAGATCATGATTGCTTTAGTTACATTCCTGCTTTTTTTTTTTTTTTTTTTTTTTTAAAAGATATAGGCACAAAAATACTTATTATAATGTTCTTCATAAAAACAAAAGTATTGGAAAACAAGACCCCTAAATGTACCCAAGTAGGAGGAAATTGGTTTCAAAAATCCCAGCACTTATGAGAAAATACTGTAAGAACAATCTGTGTATTATGTACACTCTGTAAAAATGTATTTCTCCATTTTCTAACATGAAAAGATGGTCATGTTTTTGAATTTTTAAAAGCATTCTAAACAGCAGTACATAGTAGTAATAGTATGAATAGTAAAATTGGGGAGGTGGGGGTAAGAGGAGAGAGAAAGAGAGAGAGATGGCGGTGGGGGGTGGGGGAAGCAGGGAGGGAGGCAAGGATAAAGGAAAAGAGAGTCTGAGGGAAAGACAGAGAAAAGAGAGAAAGAGAGTTTGAGGAAGAGAAAGACTGCTTTTTATTTTTGTTTTAAGGGCATGTACTTTTGGTCAATGAGATGTGAAAGGAGGTAAACTGGGAGTTTTCTGGGAACGATTTTCTTTCTCTTAGGAAACATGTACCAGAAAATATTGTTACCTTTTCTTCCAATGAGTATTATGCCTGTATGTGGCACCTTGAGCTAATATGTCCATGAAGATAACCAGCCAAATTATGGTTTCTGCTGAGTATAGTAGAATGGACAGATGGAAGGAGCCTGTGACCTTGATAACATCTTTGAGCTGCTAATTGGGCTTGGAGCTTCTTTCCTCTGGACTTCTTATTTTTACTTTTTGATCTTCCTTATAAGGTCCTTAATCCCATGGACTTTTAAAATGTGAGATAGGCTGGGTGCAGTGGCTCACGCCTGTAATCCCAGCACTTTGGGAGGCTAAGACAGGCGGAACACAAGGTCAGGAGTTCGAGACCAGCTTGGCCAACATGGTGAGCCGAGATTGCGCCACTGCACTCTGTAGCCTGGGCAACAGAGCTAGAAACTCTGTCTCAAACAAAACAAAACAAAAAAAGTGAGATAATTAATTTCCTTACTTGTTTAAGCCCAGTTGAGTTGTGGTTCTGTTACTTGCATTCAGAAACATTGCTAATACAAGGCATTTCAGAAATGTAAACTGTACCCACAGAATTAGATTTTCTAGTTTGTACAAGTTATTTTCAGCTTGAGTTTAGCTCAAATTAGGTGTGACAATGGTGTCATCTTAACTTTTAGTCAGTTTACTGGGTACTTTTATAGGTTTACTTTTGACATGTTTAATATTCCAGAGGAGCAAAGTATGCAGTAAAATGGAATGAACATGAGTATGAAGTTATATTTATATGACATTTTTATTTTTAGCAAAGTGTTTTCTGTTTTCCTGTTTGTGTACTTTTTCAAATTTTTGTAAGTGGAAATTATACATAAAAAACAAACTTTGCATTTTGAAGAAATTCTTTAATTGTGTACATCTCTTTATTTGAAGAGAATTTTGGAACATTTGAACTGAAAGTGTATATCCATTGCAAGTAACCAAAAAACCCAGCTCAAACTGGCTTTATATTGGAAGGAATTTATTGTCTTATAAAACTAAAAAGCTAAAGGTGTGTTTTGCATTTCAGGTAAAGCTTGATCCAGCAGCTTAACTGTATCATAAAGGCTCAGTTTCTTTCTGCCTTTTTATTCCTTTCATATTCTCATAGTATCAGCTTTATTCTAATGCCAGCTCTTCCATGTTAAAAGTGGTCAGTAACAATTTGGGCTATGTGACTTCTTCATTTATATCCAGCAGGGGGAGAAGTTTGCCCAACTTTTTATTCTCCAACTTTGAAACCAACCCACAGGCTTCATTCTAAATAGCACATTAGGTCTTGTGCTGTGGCTCATGCCTATAATCCCAGCATTCTGGGAGACCCAGGCAGGCAGATCACGAGGTCAAGAGATCAGGACCATCCTGGCCAACATGGTGAAACCCCATCTCTACAAAATGTACAAAAATTAGCTGGGCATGGTGGCATATTCCTGTAGCCCTAGCTACTCGGGAGCCTGAGGCAGGAGAAACACTGGAACCCGGGAGGTGGAGGTTGCAGTGAGCCGAGATTGTGCCACTGCACTCCAGCCTGGTGACAAAGCAAAACTCCGTCTCAAAAAACAAAATTGAAAAAAAAAAGTAAATAGAACAATATAGGTCTTACAAGCCCATCCCCGAGTCAATTACTGTAGCAAAAAGAATGAAAATATGCCTACTGGCTTAAATTACTAATGTCTACCCTTGGAAATGGGAGTGAGATCCATCCCATTCAAATGGTAGGCTGGTGTATGTGAAAGAGAGATGGATTCAGTACAGTCAACCATGTTTACCCTACAGAGAATGCAAAAAGAGGTAAGCCATCCTCTCTGTGAAATACAATTAGATATTATTTCTGTGTTTCTGTTTCCATGTTAAATTGTTTTTCTTTTCTGTTTTTGTCTCATTAGCAAATTGTTCGCAACAGAAAACTATTTGGCAGCTATTAATGCATATAACTTAGCCATAAGACTAAACAATAAGATTCCACTATTGTATTTGAACCGGGCTGCCTGCCACCTAAAACTAAAAAACTTACACAAGGCTATTGAAGATTCTTCTAAGGTATGGATATCTCTTTCTTATATGTATATCCATTAATTGGTTTAAATGATGATCTTTTTCTGTTCAGTTGAAATAATTGAGATACGAAGATTTAAAAAATTGTCTTTCTTATTAAACCTTTTGTTTTTAACTGATTTTTTACTAATGGACAAGGAACTGGCATTTGTTGTGACTTCTATGAATAGTTAGATTAAAAATCAGCTTTTGCCGGGCGTGGTGGCTCACGCCTGTAATCCCAGCACCTTAGGAGGCCGAGGTGGGCGGATCACCTAAAGTCAGGAGTTCGAGACCAGTCTGGCCAACATGGAGAAACCCCATCTCTTAAAAAAAAAAAATCAGCTGTTACTGTATTGCCCTGATGTACCACTTCAAGTTCACAAAGAAATTAGTAAATGTTTTTTTTTTTTTTTTTTTTTTTTTTTTAAGACGGGGTCTTGCCCTGTCACCCATGCTGGAATGCAGTGGTAAGATGACAGCTCACTGCCACAGCTTTGACCTCCTAATCTCAAGCTATCCTCCCCACCTCAGCCTCTTAAGTAGCTGGGATTATAGGCACGCACCACCATACCTAGCTAAGTTTTTGTTTTGTTTTGTTTTTTGTAGAGACAAGGTCTCCTTATATTTTTCAGGTTGGTCTCGAACTCCTGATTTCAAGGGATGTTACAACCTTTCAAAGTGCTAGAATTACAGGTGTGAATCACTGTACCCTGCTGGAAATTAGTCAATGGTGGTCAGTTGTGCCCTTTCCTTTCCTTTTCTTTCCTCTTTCCTTTCCCCCTTTCTTTAATTTTTTTCCTTCTTCCTTCTTTCTCCCTCCCTCTTTTTTCCTTCCTCTTTTTTTCTTCTCTTCTCCCTCTCTCCCTCCCTTTCTTCTTTTCTTCCTCTTTCTTTCTTCTTCTCTCCCTCCCTTCCTTTCCCTTTTCTTCCTTTTCCTCTCCTCCCCTCCCCTCCCTTCTCCTCCCTTCCCCTTCCTTTCCTTCCTTTCTCTCTTTCTCCCTCCCTCCCTCCTTCCCTCCCTCTCTCTCTCTCTCTCTCTCTCTTTCTTTCTTCCTCCCCCTCCTCCTCTTTTTTTTTTTGGAGGGGAGACAGAATCTCACTCTGTCACCCAGGATGGATTACAGAGGTGTGATCACAGTTCACTGCAGCCTCGACCTCCCAATCTCAAGTGATCATCCCACCTCAGCCTCCCAAGTAGCTGGAACTACAGGCATGCATCACCACACCTAGCTAATTTTTGTATTTTTTTTATAGACATGGGGTTTGGCCACATTGCCCAGGCTGGTCTCGAATTCCTGGGCTCAAGCAATCTTCCTGTCTCAGCTTTGCAAAGCACTAGGATTACAGGGGTAAGCCACTGCATCCAGCCCACCCTTTTTCTTATTAAAGTTTTGCAGACTCCGCCAGGTGCTGTGGCTAACACCTATAATCTCAGCACTTTGGGAGGCCAAGGTGAACAGATCACCTGAGATCAGGAGTTCGAGACCAGCCTGGCCAACATGATGAAAACCTGTCTCTACTAAAAATACAAAAATTAGCTAGGTGTGGTGGTGGCCGCCTGTAGTCCCAGCCACATGGGAGGCTGAGGCAGGAGAACTGCTTGAACCCAAAAGGCGGAGGTTGCAGTGAGTTGAGATCATGCCATTGCACCCTAGCCTAGGTGATAGAGCAAGACTCTGTCTCAAAAAAAAAAAACCAAAAAATTTTTGCAGAGTCAATGCAAGGTAGAAGGAAGAACACTGGGTATTTACTTGTTATCTCTACCACATGTTCAGTAAGAGAATATTTCTTTTTTAAAGAAATTTTTAAAGTTTTTTTTGAGATGATATCCCACCCTGTCACCCAGGCTAGAGTGCAGTAGCACGATCTCCACTCACTGCAACATCCTCCTCCCAGGTTCAGGAGATCCTCCTGCCTCAGCCTCCCGAGTAGCTGGATTATAGGTGCTTCCCACCACAACTGGCCAAATTTTTTAAGGTTTTTTTTTTTTTTTTTTGTGACAGAGTCTCACTCTTTCACCATCGCTGGAGTGCAGTGGTATGATCTCGGCTCACTGCAAACTCAGTTTCCTGGGCTCAAGCGATTCTCATGCCTCAGCCTCCAAGTAGCTGGGATTACAGGTGCCCACCACCATGCCCAGCTAATTTTTGTATTTTTAGCAGAGGCAAGGCTTCACCATGTATGTTGGCCAGGCTGGTCTCAAACTCCTTATCTCAAATGATCCACTTGCCTCAGCCTCGCAAAGTGTTGGAATTACAGGCGTGAGCCACCATGCCCAGCCCTCAATTTTTCATTTTTAAGAGACAGCCTGTTGCCCAGGGTAGAGTGCAGTGGCTCACTGCAACGTCAAGCTCCTGGACTCAAGTAATCATTCTGCCTTGGCTTCCCAAAGCGCTGGGATTACAGGTGTGAGTCACCATGCCCAGCCCAGATATCTCTATAATCATTTTCTTATTTACAGGGTAACTTAGTATAGGCTACTTTCCATTACTAATATTTCATGTGAATGTCTTGAACTTCTACAGCTTGTTATTTTTCTATGTCAAGATAACTTGTTTTAAGGGAATATCATTTGCAAAATCTCTTAGGTAGCTCCTTGAGATTGAGGGTATGGAGTACACAACAAGTCCTCATACTTTGATGTAATAAAATTTTTATAATCCAATTCTTCTTTGACTCTCACATGCAGACAAATATTTATTGAATGAATGAATAAACTGAATCACTCAATCTGAATACCGAAGCCCCACAAATGCTATTTAATAATTCCTACTAGTAAAAATATATTTGTAAATATATTTTATATTTTTAAATGTATTATATATGTATATAATATACATATGTATCTAATATATAATGTATACATATATATTTATGTATATAAATATATAATACAATATATATTTATAAATATATATTTATAAACATTTATTAAATATATATTTATATATATAAACATACATATATTTATATACACAATATTTCTATATTAAATATAATGTATATATAGATATGAATATTTATAATATATTAAATATATTTTTAAATATATAAATATACATTTATAAATATAATTTATGTATGTAAAAATATATTTATATGTTTAATATATATTTTATATATATTAAATATAAAAGCCTACTATTTATGTCACAATTAGTTTAAGTTGTTAGTTTATTTATATATAGACAATAATAATATATATGTGGCTGGGTGCCATGGCTCACGCCTGTAATCCCAACACTTTGAGAGGCTGAGGCGGGTGGATTACCTGAGGTCAGGAGTTCGAAACCAGCCTGGCCAATAAGGTGAAACCCCATCTCTACTAAAAATACAAAAATTAGCTGGGCATGGTGGTGTATGCCTGTAATCCCAGCTACTAGGGGGCTGAGGCAGGATTGCTTGAACCTGGGAGGTGGAGGTTGCATTGAGCTAATATCTATATATGCATGTATTTGGTAAATTCCTGTACCAGCTAAGCCAATTTAGGTGAGGGCTTGAGGCTTTTTTTTTTTTTTTTTTTGAGATGAAGTCTCATTCTGTCACCAGGCTGGAGTGCAGTGGCGTGATCTGCAACCTCTGCCTCCCAGATTCAGGTGATTCTCCTGCCTCAGTCTCCTGAGTAGCTGGGATTACAGGCGTGCGCCACGATGTCTGGCTAGTTTTTATATTTTTAGTAGAGACAGGGTTTTGTCATGTTGGCCAGTCTGGTCTCGAACTCCTGACCCTCAAGTGATCCTCCCACCTCAGCCTCCCAAAGCGCTGGGATTACAGGTGTGATCCACCGTGCCCGACCTTTGCTTGTTTAAATTAAGAAATGATGTCTTTCTCTTAATAATTATATATATATTTTGTAAGGCACTGGAATTATTGATGCCACCTGTTACAGACAATGCTAATGCAAGAATGAAGGCACATATACGACGTGGAACAGCATTCTGTCAACTAGAATTGTATGTAGAAGGTAAGAAATTGATAGAAGTGGTTTAAGTGTCAAGTTATAGTCTGAAAAAAAGTCACTGGAATTATTTAAGATCATGACTTTTTTCTCTTTTTTTAAATTGTTTTTATGTATATTTTATTTATTATTATTTTAGAATAGATATGGTCAAAAGGATCATGACTTTTAAGGACTACATTTAAAAAATGGTTTTAGCATTTAATTCATTATTTGAAATGTCTGCAACATATCTGACAAAACATGATTTCAAAATTATATTTTAAACATTCATTGTAGAAGGGAATTAAAACAAGTGTGAACAACAAGTTTCAGTCTAGAAAAATGCTATATTACCAGACAACTCTTCTATAGAAAGATATGTGATAAATGCTGGGTGGGTACTTCACCCTTGTAATCCCAGGGACTAGGGAGGCTGAAGTGGGAGGATGGCTTGAGGCCAGGAATTTGAGACCAGCCTGGGCAACACAGTGAGACCGTGTCTCTTAAAAAAAAAATAATGGTAAAATATATAAGTGATTTATTTGAGATATCATTGAAATTTTTTTTTTTTTTTTTTTTTTTTTTTTTGAGATGGAGTCTCACACTGTAGCCCAGGCTGGAGTGCAGTGGCACGATCTTGGCTCACTGCAAACTCTGCCTCCCGGGTTAAAGCAATTTTTCTGCCTCACCGAGTAGCTGGGATTACAGGCACCTGCCACCATGCCCGGCTAATTTTTGTGTTTTTAGTAGAGATTGGGTTTCACCATCTTGGCCAGGCTGGTCTTGAACTCTTGACCTTGAGATCCACCCACCACAGCATCCCAAAGTGTTGGGATTACAGGCATGAACCATGTCACCTGGCCGCAAATTTATCTCAAAGAGCTTCTTTGGTCACACCCTGTGTGTGTGTGTGTGTGTGTGTGTGTGTGTGTGTGTGTGTGTGTGTGTGTACACACCTAAGCTTAGAAATAACGGATCTACCAAACTGTATGAACATTGCTTATATTTGTTAGATTGTATTAATGTCTGTAATTTAGCCCCATATATGCAGAAGACATATAGCATTTATTTTATTTTAAATAGATTTAGGAGGCCAGGTACGGTAGCTCATACCTGTAATTCCAGAACTTGGAATGCCAAGGTGGGTGGAGGTCACCTGAGGTCAGGAGTTCGCCAGCCTGACCAACATAGTGAAACCCTGTCTCTACTAAAAATACAGAATTAGCTGAGTGTGGTGGCACATGCCTGTAACCCCAGCTACTTGGGAGGCTGAGGCAGGAGGATCATTTGAACCTGGGAGGCAGAGGTTGCGGTAGGCTGAGATCGTGCCATTGCATTCCAGCCTGGGCAACAATAGCAAAGCTCCATCTCAAAAACAAAACAAACAAACAATTATATGTATATGTATATGTGTATGTGTATATACACACATATATATATATGTATGTATAACTCTTTGCAGTTACTCATGCTGCACCAAGGGCAAAATTTTGTAGTAGCCAAAGTTTATCTTCAAGGTTCCTCCTCCCATACCTCCCTAAGGAGAAGCCTGTTCAGCTTCCATTCACTCAAGGCCTAGAGGTCCCCTCTTGATGATGTCTTACCAGGACAAGCTATACATTTTTATTATTTCTGATTTCATTTTTAAAGTTGGTTCTGCCATTTTTAGGATTTTTTTTTTTTTTTTTTTTTTAGAGACGGAGTCTTGCTCTGTCGCCCAGGCTGGAGTGCAGTGGCGCAATCTCAGCTCACTGCAATTTCCACCTCAGGAAATTTTTTCTAACCAAAGCATCCACGTTGTGTTTATATGCCCCATTCTTTTTTAAATGTCTTATTCAGTTTCAGGAGGATAAAGATGACTAAGCAGGAATGAAATGTTCTTTAGAAATTATGGCATTATAGATTGTTTTCAGCTACAAAGACTCTTTCTTTTAAAGATGAGATAGTTGAGGCTTACAGGAGGCAATTCAGTGAATTGCCAAACCTGGCATAGCAAATCAACAGCATTTTAGGGACTAGAACTCAAGGTTCCTTACTCTGAAAGAAATATTTTTTTCCATGGCGTTTTTTGGTAAAGATTAAGATCCAGCTACTTATTTTTTTTTTTTGAGATAGAGTCTCGCTCTGTCGCCAGGGCTGGAGTGCATTGGCACGAGCTCAGCTCACTGCAACTCTGTTTCCTAGGTTCAAGCGATTCTCCTGCCTCAGCCTCCTGAGTAGCTGGGATTACAGGTGCATGCCACCATGCATAGCTAATTTTCATACTTTTAAAAGAGATGGGATTTCACCATGTTCGTCAGGCTGGTCTCAAACTCCTGATCCTCCTGCCTCAGCCTCCCCAAGTGCTGGGATTACAGGAATGAATGTCCTTTTAACGAGCAGTAGACAGTGCTTTCATTTTTAACCATTTTTTTCTCAAAGGAATTCTGTACCTATTAAAACTACAGAAAAAAGCTTATGCCACATTCTAGTCTATGAATAAAGTATGGTTTGAGTCTACAAAATTTATTTATTTATTTATTTGAGATGGAGTCTTGCTCTGTCACCCAGGCTGGAGTGCAGTGGTGCTATCTTGGCTTACGGCAACCTCTACCTCCTGGGTTCAAGCAATTTTCCTGCCTCAGCCTCCCGTTTATGTTATAATGAGTTTAAGTTGTTAATTTATTTGTGCTTGAATTCAAAATAACTGTTGCTTACAGAATATTGAATAAAATAATAATTCCCCAAATCACTGAAAAATTTCTGCAGTCTTATAGAGATACTACCATGTGTGTGAAGATGGGAATCTAATTTAAAACTTGGTACTTGTCCTGAACTATGCTACTAGTGTTTGTTTTTTTTTTTAAATAACTATTGTCTAGATAAGAGATGTATTAATAAAGTATTTCTTTCATTCATCATCATTGCTATATAAACATAGGCCTACAGGATTATGAAGCAGCACTTAAGATTGATCCATCCAACAAAATTGTACAAATTGATGCTGAGAAGATTCGGAATGTAATTCAAGGAACAGAACTAAAATCTTAATGACTATTAGAAGCAACTAAGTATTGTTATAGGTTTTTTAAAAATACCTCGAGGCATTAGGAATCTTTGTACATATCACGGTCGACTGTACAGAATTGCTTTCTGTTTAGTACTCTCTGTAGAGCTGTAGAGGGCAAAATATTATAAGTCTATAGAAAATAAACTGTGAGTTGAATCGTTCCTGAATAAGTAAATCTAAATAAGAATAATCTATTTTAATTCCTTATTTCTTCGTATTAATACATACTTATCTGGCTGGGTGCAGTGGCTCACATCTGTAATTCCAGCATTTTGGGAGGCTGAGGTGGGCGGATCATGAGGTCAAGAGATCGAGACCATCTTGGCCAACATGGTAAACCCCATCTCTACTAAAAATACAGAAATTAGCTGGACATGGTGGTGCACGCCTATAGGTCCAGCTACTTAGGAGGCTGAGGCAGAAGAATCTCTTGAACCCAGGAGGTGGAGTTTGCAGTGAGCATAGATCCTGCCACTGCACTCCAGCCTGGTGACAGAGCGAGACTCTGTCTCAAAAAAAAAAAAAACAAAAATGCATACTTACACATTTTTGTGTTACTGAATTAAGCTTGCTGTTGTAACAAAATATATTTTGCTATAGTTACCAGGACACTTACTGATTAATTTTTAAAAAGGTAGAATTTTAAATAAAAGATTGTTTACAAAGTATTTTTGTTTGTATTAAATATACCATTTAATTGACTGAATGGTTGACTTTGGTATAATAAATATTGATAGGTTTTCTGTTAGTTTCCGAATACACAGAACCTTGTTTTTTCTTTAATACTTTCTAACACCTGTTGTTCAAGATTAGATCAGTTCAACCTGGTATAAAACCACTGTTTAGAAAACCTTATCTTCAACTTCAGTTATAGGCTGTGCTCCTGAAAACTGATCATATTTCATAACACTGTCTGGTGAAGATAAATTTTTTTAGTGAAATAGTTTTCTAATACCTCCAAGTAGACAAGGGGGGAAAAAGAGACAGCAAAGCATTAGATATTAACCTGGTATATTATGATATTGGCATTGGATTGCACCAACATCTGTGTTGTATCACTGTGATTATGCAAGCGTTAAGCACAATAGCACAGCTTCTCTTTTTCATGTAGTTATTGTAATTCTTCTGATTAGATTTTAAAATGATTTTTTTTTTTTTGAGATGGAGTCTCCTGTTGCCCAGGCTGGAATGCAATGTCTGGATCTTGGCTCACTGCAGCTTCCTCTTCCCAGGTTCAAACCGTTCTCCTGCCTCAGCCTCCCTAGTAGCTGAGATTATAGGCGCCTGCAACCAAGCCCAACTAATTTTTGTATTTTTATTAAAGACAGTGTTTCACCATGTTGGTCAGGCTGGTCTTGAACTCCTGACCTCAGTGATTCACCTGTCTTGGCCTCCCAAAGTGCTGAGATTACAGGTGTGAGCCACTGCACCTGTTTTTTTTTTTTTTTTTTTTTTTTTTTTTTTATTTGAAACCGAGTCTCCCTCTGTTGTCCAGGCTGGAGTACAGTGGTGTGATATTGGCTCACTGCAAACTCCGCCTACCAGGTTCAAGTGATTCTCCTGCCTCAGCCTCCAGAGATGCTGGGATTATAGGCACCTGCCACCATACCTGGCTAATTTTTGTATTTTTAGTAGAGACAGAGTTTTGCCATGTTGCTCAGGCTGGTCTTGAGCTTCTGACCTCAGGTGATCTGCCTGCCTCTGCCTCCCAAAGAGCTAGGATTACAGGTGTGAGCCACCATGCCTAGCCATTTTTTTTTTTTCAAACCAAGGTGGGCAGATCACCTGAGGTCAGGAGTTTGAGACCAGCCTGGCCAATATGGCAAAACCCTGTTTCCATTAAAAATCCAAAATGTAGCTGGGCATGGTGGTACACACCTGTAGTCCCAGCTGCTTGGGTGGCTGTGGCAGGAGAATTGCTTGAACCAGGATGCGGAGGTTTCAGAGAGCTGACATGGCATTACTACACTCCAGCCCAGGCAACAGAGCAAGACTGTGTCTCAAAAAAAAAAGAAGAAAAGAAAACAAAGCTGGGATGAATTTTTATAGTATCTGATCATCTGATGCCACAAATTGTTGTGTGAGTCCTTTGATTTTTCTTTTTTTTTTTTGTTTGAGATGGAGTCTCGTGCTTGTCACCCAGGCTGGAGTGCAATGGTGCTATCTCGGCTCATTGCAACCTCTGCCATCCAGGTCCAAGCAATTCTCCTGCCTCAGCCTCCTGAGTAGCTGGGATTACAGGTATGCGCCACCATGCCTGGCTAATTTTGTATTTTTAGTAAAGACGGGGTTTCTCCATGTTGACCAGGCTAGTCTCGAACTCCTGACCTCAGCTGATCCACCTGCCTTAGCCTCCCAAAGGGCTAGGATCACAGGCATGAGTCACAGCGCCTGGCCTGATTGTTTTAATAAGGCCAATTTAATTTAAAAAAAAATTTTCGGCTGCATGAGGTGACTCACACCTGTAATCCTAGCACTTTGGGATGCCGAAGTGGGAAGATCACGAGGTCAGGAGTTCAAGATCTGCCTGGCCAATATGGTGAAACCTCATCTCTGCTAAATATACAAAAAGTACCTGGTCATGGTGGTGCACACCTGTAGTGCCAGCTACACAGGAGGCTGAGGCAGGAGATTTGCTTGAACCCAGAAAGTGGAGGTTGCAGTGAGGAGAGATCATGCCACTGTACTCCAGCCTGGGTGACAGAGTGAGACACAATCTCAAAAAAAAAAAAAAAAATTTCTAGTTAGGCAATGAAAATTTAATTATTTGATTGAAATTAATTTCCATATACCAAATAGATAATAAATAAAATGTAGCTGTTACAGAAATGTAAACTGAAAAGACCTTTAACCTTCTACTATTGTGATTACCATACACAGAGTACACATTTATTAAAGAAGACTTAAACAAATTTAATTATGAGCAAATGTCAAGGCTATATCACAACATTGCACACACAAAAAAAGATGCTAGTGCATTTTTATAATGGATGCTTTATAGGAACAGGAAATAGTCATTGTTAAACCACAATTTGAAAAAGAGTATTTCATTACGTGCACTAACCTCTTGATGACATTCACTTGACAGTCAACTAGGATCGATGGGTAACTGGTTTCCCAAAATAAATCTTTATCTCCGCTGGGCCTGGTGGCTCATGCCTGTAATTCTAGCACTTTGGGAGGCCAAGGTTGGCAGATCACTTGGAGTCAGGAGTTCAAGACTAGCCTGGCCAACATGGTGAAACTGCACTCCAGCTTGGGCAATCGAATGAGACTCCTTCTCAACAAACAAACAACAAAACGAAAACTTTTTAAAGTGCTTAAGCATTTTATTAGAAATGCTTATTTTTTCCTTCAGTCAAAAGACAGTATTTTTATTGATTGATTGATTGATTGATTGATGGAGTCTTGCCCTGTCACCCCGGCTTTAGTGCAGTGGTGTGATCTTGGCTCACTGCAACCTCCATCTCCTGGGTTCAAGTGATTCGCTTGCCTTAACCTCTCAAGTAGCTGGATCCATAGGTGTGTACCACCACATCCAGCTAATTTTTGTATTTTTAGTAGAGACAGGGTTTCACCGTTTTGGTCAGGCTGGTCTGGAACTCATGACCTCAAGTGATTTGCTCGCCTTGGCCTCCCAAAGTGCTGGGACTACAGGCCTGAGCCCCCATTCCTGGCCCCACAAATTTAAAGATATAATTGGCTTTTATCAGTGACTGATGAATCAAGCAGCATCTTATATAAAGATTTCGAGGAGATACTGCTAGATGTGGCAGAATAAAACTACCTTTGCAAAATTATTATTAAGACAATGAAAGAGATTTAACTGAATTTATCTTGCTTTTAACCTCCAAGCTGTCCTTGTTCATTCCTGGACATAGGCTGAACTAACTTTAAGTAATGGGTGAGGTGACTCACGCCTGTAATCCCAGCACTTTGGGAGGCTGAGGCAGGCAGATCAGAAGGTCAGAAGTTTGATACCAGCCTGGCCAACAGGGTGAAACCCTGTCTCTACTAAAAACATAAAAAATTAGCTGGCCGTGGTGGCGCAAGCCTGTAATCCCAGCTACTCGGAAGGCTGAGACGGGAGAATCGCTTGACCCTAGGAGGTGGAGGTTGCAGTGAGCCGAGATCATGCCATTGCACTCTAGCCTGGGTGAAAGAGCAAGACTCTGTCTTGAGAACAAAAAGCTTACTTTATAGTTTAAACAAAGACAGTAAAAGCCCTTTTGCAAAGCAGACCTCTTTCTTGCCTGGGGAATAAATTGTCTTTGTAGGACTAACATTAGCCACAGATTAAAAATTATGATTTAGGCTGGGTGCAGTGGCTCACACCTGTAATCCTAGCACTTTGGGAGTCCCAGGTGGGTGGATCACCTGAGGTCAGGGGTTCAAGACCAGCCTGGCCACCACGGTGAAAACCCGTGTCTACTAAAAATACAGATTAGCATGGTAGTGCATGCCTGTAATCCCAGCTACTCGTGGGGAGGCTGAGGCAGGAAAATCGTTTGAACCTGGAAGGTTGCAGTGAACCAAGATCTCGCCATTGCACTTCAGCCTGGGCAACAATAGCAAAACTCTGTCTCAAGAAAAAAAAAAAGTTATGGTTTAGAAGTCACCCAGCTGGAGGCTACAGAATTCTGACTTTCCCTAAACTTCTCCTAAGATCAGTGCTTGAAATATTTTGCAGACCCTGAACTTAATGAATCAGCTGGCACTACCCAAATCAATAAAGGGACTTATCTAATCTTGTGAACCCCCACCCAGGAGCTAACTTGAGAAAAGCAGCTCCGACTCCCTGTAATTTCATCTCTAACCAATCAGCATTCCTGGCTCAACGGCTTCCCCTTACCCACTAAGTTTTCCTTAGAAACTCTGCTTCCCCGTTGCTTGGGGAGACTAATTTAAGTAATAGTAAAATTCTCATCTCCTGCACAGTTGGCTCTATGTGAATTACTCTTTCTATTGCAATTTCCCTGTCTTAATAAATGGGCTCTGTCTAGGGAACAGAAACCCCCTGGGCAGTTACAAGAACAGTTGATATTTTTAAGGTAGTTGAGGCAGGAAACAAGAGACAGCATAATATGAAAAGTGGATTAGTTGATGTCTGCTTACTTCAGGTCACTTTCCTTGTAAGAGTTAAAACAGAGGGGACTTCCCTATCCTGCCAGCTAAAAGGGGCCCGTTTGGGGATTTGGCTGTCAAATATCTCCTGATTTATCAGATCAGATAAACAACTAAGTTTTGGGCCAGGCACTGTGGCTCACTCGTGTAATCTCAGTACTTTGGGAGGCTGAGGTGGGCGGACCAGCTGAGGTCAGGAGTTTGAGACCAGCCTGGCCAACCCCATCACTACTAAAAATGCAAAAATTAGCTGGATGTAGTGGCAAGCACCTGTAATCCCAGCTACTAGGGAGGCTGAGGCAGGAGTATCTCTTGAATTTGGGAGGTGGAGGTTGCAGTGAGCCGAGATCACGCCACTGCACTCTAGCCTGGGCAAAAGAGCAAGCCTCTGTCTTGAGGAAAAAAAAAAAAAAAAACTAGAGTGCAGTGATGCAATCTTGGCTCACTGCAACCTCCACCTCCTGGGTTCAAGTGATTCTCCTGCCACAGCCTTCTAAGTAGCTGGGACTGCAGGCACGCTAACACCCAGTTAATTTTTTTAATTTTTTGTATTTTTAGTAGAGGTGGGGTTTCACCACGTTGGCCAGGCTGGTCTTGAACTCCTGACCTTGTGATCCACCCGCCTTGGTATCCCAAAGTGCTGGGATTACATATGTAAGCCATTGCACTCAGCCACTTCTGAGAATTTTAGCAACACCAAAAATGACCCAGTGGTGCACCTGCCATAGTTAGGAATTTTAGGTTAGTGTCTAGATGCTACATAGAAAAAGGTAAATTCACTTGCCACAAATTGGGCACCTACAGTGAAGGGGAAAAATGGTTTATATGGTTTATACCACAAGAACAGGCTAATAAATTCAAGGCAGGAGTATCTCTTGAATTTGGGAGGTGGAGGCCTGGAAATCTTGTGTAGTGCCTATTTGGAAATCGCTTGGAAATCTTGTGTAGTGCCTATTTGATGTTTTTACTTGGAAATCTTGTGTAGTGCCTATTTGATGTTTTGAGGATATGAACAAAATTAATTTTTCTTCTTGCTTGTGCCATTACCAAATATCAGTTTTGGGGGTTATTGGAAGAAGCTGATGAGGCTGTAGAGTCTGAGCTGCTTCCTTACATCCAGCTACTTTTATGATTAGAAGATTCAACTTTTACAATCCCCTAATGACTCACAAATTTATTTTTTCTAATAGATGGTAATATCCTGAAGTGACACCAACAGGGAAAAGTAACAATGATTGTTTTTTTTTCCAGAAAGATACTCAGACCCAATTGTCAACATACAGTTTAAACAGATGGCAGCTGAAATAAATCTGTGTGTACAGTGGAATCACAGATCTTAAAAAATTGTATAGCCTGTCACCTACCACTGCTCACACTGTGTTAAAGATACATCAAATTAATTGCATTTATGAAAATATACCACATTACCTCACATCTTTGTACTTTTATCCATGTAGTTTCTTCTGTCAGAACAGCCTTCCTTTGATTTATCTTTTCCAGGACCCTTCTCCTGATCTCTCTGGTCTTAATTTGAGCAATTCTGTCTCTATCTGAAAAGCCTGTGCATATTGCGTACTTTACATTACATAAATTATCACATATTAATTTGCTAATCTCATTCTTCGAAAATATTGTTTTCTTTTTGAGACAGAGTTTCTCTCTTTTGTCACCCAGGCTGGAGTGCAATGGCGCAATCTCGGCTCACTGCAACCTCCATCTCCCGGGTTCAAGCGATTCTCCTGCCTCAGCCTCCTAAAGTAGCTGGTATTACAGGTGCCCACCACTACATCCAGCTAATTTTTTTTGGGTTTCACCATGTTGGCCAGGCTGGTCTTGAACTCCTGACTTCAGGTGGTCTACCCGCCTTAGCCTCCCAGAGTGCCGGGATTATAGGAGTTAGCCACCGTTCCTGGCCAATATTGTTAATTAAAACAATGAAAGTCACTGTCTTTTATTTCTTTATCTCTATTTGAATAGTACAATCTGCCATCAGTAAGGATTCAAAAAACATTTGCTAAATGAATCAATAAATTACAAGTTCTCTCTTCTACCAGCCTAGCAATGGGAATTAACATTATGTTAAAAAAGTGGGAAATTGGCCGGGCAGCGTGGCTCACTCCTGTAATCCCAATACTTGGAGAGGCTGAGGCAGGTTGACTGCTTGAGAACAGGAGTTTGAGATCAGTCTGGGTAACACAGTGAGACACTGTCTACACATACACACACACACACACACACAAATTAGCTGGGGGCATAGTGGTGCATGCCTGTAGTCCCAGCTAGTCGAGAGGCTGAGGTGGGTGATGGCTTGACTGCTTGAAGACAGGCACAAACACACAGTGAGACTCTGTCTACACACACACACACACACACACACACACACACACACACTCTCTCTCTCTCTCTCTCTCTCTCTCTCTCTCTAGCTGGGGGCATGGTGCTGCATGCCTATAGCCTCAACTAGTTGAGACTCAGAGGTGGAGGATGGCTTGAGCCCAGGAGTTCAAGGTTGCAGTGAACCATGATCATGCCATGATCACTCCAGCCTGGGTGACAGGATGAAACCCTATCTCCAAATATAAACAATAAAAGTGTGAAATTGTTGTTCAGAATCTTCCTTAAATCAATGTTTTTTCTTACAGCTCCTGTGTTCCTTTGTCTTGATAAGTAGACTCCATAGATAAGTAAATAAAATACAAAAGGTTTTTGAAGCTTTTGGATTACATGCACTAAAATACTTTCTGCCTTTTATTTTGCTATTTTGAACATATTTTTATTTAAAAAGTCACTGTCATGCAGCTATCAGTTGAAATACTTTATTTAACTTATTTTTTTAAATGATTCAAAACTTTTTATCTTCTTAATTAGGTATTCTACCCTTAGATTTAAAACTCATTTTTCCCGAGTATATGTTCTCTTAAATATACAAAGGAATATATTTTCATAGAGTATGTTGAAAATTAGGAAAATCAAGGGTTCTGGTTCTGTCAGGTGCAGTATTTAGAGTGTTATTTTGATAAAACCCAGTTGCTCTGATAAGGCTTGAAAATACTTGCTCCTTTGGAGTATAATTGCAGGGGAAAAACTGTGGGATAGGTAGAAATTCACCATAATGACTTGAATTGGTTTTGTACATAATCATCTGAGGTTTTGATAGTGAGGTGGCTGTCTGAAGTGTCTTTGGATCCAACATACATGAAAACACAGGATTGCCAGGGTTCACACAAGGAGTCAGTTGTTCAGATTTCATTTCTGTGTCTGGATTTGAAGGTGAAGTACTTTTCTTATCCTAAAAGATAAGCACACAAAATCATTCTCAATTATAAAGTTCTGAAAAAAATCAAACTAAACCTAGTCTCACCCACTTCCCTTTTTCAGGAATTCTGTTCTCTTGAGGGCATTGAAGACCACCCATAAAATCATATACACCTGTACAGAGCAAAGTCACACATTTGCATAAAGTCTCTTTTAAAACATTCTGTACTACAACTATGAGTATTTAAAAATCTGTAAATCATAGGGAAAACGTGTAAAAGTCATAGTTGGAAGAGGAAGTACAGCTTGATTTTAGACTGAGAAAGGAACAAGATAAACACCCAGGGTTATCTTGGGTATGCGAGCAGCCATTAAGAAACTAATTATGCAGCTAACAGAATAATTAAAATTGTGATAATTGCTATGAAGAAAAAAATAAAACATATTAATGGAGACAGAATGGGAGTTCTAATCTAGTGTTGGGGTTAGGGAAAGCCATTCCACTGAGATACCATTCAATCTGGCACCGACTATAACTCAAGGAAGTAAAAGATAGAGGTGGGGACAAAGTATGGCAAAAGTCAAATAAGTTAGGGTGAAAATGTCATGAGATCAGAATAGACAGCCAGGGGTCAGCTCTCTCAGGGTCTTGTTGACTGTGTTTAAAATTTGTGTATCGTAAAAGCAGTGGAAAGCTATTGAAGGGTTTTAAGCAGAGACGTGACATGATGTAATATAATTCTAGTAAAATTACTTTGGTGTTGTTAGGGTCTTTGTGAATGTGGTGAGGAACTTAGTAGTCCATGTGAGTAATGATGACAGTATATAGTAGGTGGTAACATGGAGATGGAGCAAATTTGTTTGTTTTTGTTTTGTCTTGTTTGTTTTTTGACAGAGTCTCGCTCTGTCATCCAGGCTGGAGTGCAATGGCAAGATCTCGGATCACTGCAACCTCTGCCTCCCAGGTTCAAGCAATTCTCCTGCCTCAGCATCCCAAACTGCTGGGATTACAGGCGTGAACCACGGCGACCAGCCAATGGAGTAAATTTGAACATATTTTGGCAGTAGAATTCACAAGATCTCATGATTGATTGGAGGTGGATGGTGATAAAAAGGGACAGATCTAGGATAACTTCCAGTTTCCTGGACAAACACTTGGGTAGATAGTGGTGCCATTTACTACAATGTAATATGTAAATCAAATACATATATGTAATTTTTTTTATATAGATGAAACATAATTTTGGCACTGAAAAGCACTTAGCATTGATGATGGCCTGATACATTAATATAACAATGTTTAGGCCTGGACTGGTGGTTCACACCTGTAATCCTAGTACTTTGGGAGGCTGAGGCAGGCGGATCATGAGGTCAAGAGATGGAGGCCACCCTGGCCAACACGGTGAGATCCCGTCTCTACTAAAAATACAAAAATTAGATGGGTGTGGTGGCACATGCCTATAGTCCCATGTACTCGGGAGGCTGAGGCAGGAGAATCACTTGAACCTGGGAGGCAGAGGTTGTAGTGAGCTGAGATCTGAGATCCAGACACTGCACTCCAGCTTGGCCACAGAGTAAGACTCTGTCTCAAAAAAAAAAAAAAAAATTAATATAACAATGTTTAAAAAAATTAACAGACTTTATGAAAAACTCTAAAAATGTCATGACTGAATCCTGAAATTTTGATGTTGAATTCTATCATAAGAAACTTTATTGTAGAAAATTTTAATTCACAGCATTACTTACAAAAGAACTGAAATGTGTACTGATTTAGATGGATGTTAATTTTAATTATAATGCTAATGCCAAAATACTAATAAAAGTACTCAAAAATAGTTTCTTAAATAGTTTTTTCCTCAAACTTACATTGATGTAAGATAAATATTCATCCAGCCCTGGTATAATTATCTCAGAATAATTATAAACTGGGGATTCTCTTTTTCTTTTTCTTTTTTTTTTTTTTGAGACAGGGTTTCACTCTTGTTTCCCAGGCTGGAGTGCAGGGGTGCGATCTCGGCTCACTGCAACCTGCGCCTCCCATGTTCAAGTGATTCTCTTGCCTCAGCATCCTGAGTAGCTGGGATTACAGGCATGTGCCACGACGCCCGGCTAATTTGTATTTTTAGTAGAGATGGGGTTTCACCATGTTGGCCAGGATAATCTTGATCTCCTAACCTCATGATGTGCCCACCTTGGCCTCCCAAAGTGCTGGGATTACAGGGGTGAGCCACCATGCCCAGCCCCACTGCAGTTTTCTTATTTGGGTTTCACCTTCTTCAAACCTGATATTCGTAAAATTGTAGTTCAAACTGACTACAGTTAAGAATGAAACAAACAGCCAGTACAAAGAATAATAAAAGGATGATTTTAAATTCTGTCACATATGTGAACAACTGGTTTATTTAAATGATAAAAAAGATTAAAAATGATTTTTCAGAAGAAATTAAATCTTAAAATTGGCCTGTGACAGTGCCTTGAAAGGTATAAAAATCTACTAGTAGCTGGTACTAGCTTTCTTAGTAATTTAATTTTCAGTTAAAGTTAGAGAAGGCCAGACCACTATGACTTTTAGAAGTCCTTCGGTATAGACACATATACGCTTATAAAGATAAATGAAAACAAGCCACTGATAATGACCACTGCAGAAGCTGTAATTATAAAATTAAGATTTTTTTTGATGTCACTGTTGATGTTAAGTATAGTTAACACAGAAGCAAAAATAAAAAAGGTCTAATTTTGAGGCACTCTTGTCTCTGCTCAGGCCCACCATCTTCCTTGTTAATGTTTATCATTTATTTTTTTCATTTATTTACTTTTATCACAATTAGGGGACAGAAAATGAAACCTAAGCTTTCATTGCTTCTGAAAACAGTGAATATAAATGTATCATATCTTTTTTTTTTCTTGGAGACGGAGTTTCTCTGTTGTTGCCCAGCCTGCAGTTCAATGGTGTGATCTTGGCTTACCGTAACCTCAGCCTCCCAGGTTCAAGCTATTCTCCTGCCTCAGCCTCCCAAGTAGCTGGGATTACAGGGGCATGCCACCACTCTCGGCTAATTGTTGGTATTTAGTAGTTTCACCATGTAGGTCAGGTTGGTCTCCAACTCCTGACCTCAGGTGATCCGCCTGCCTTGGCCTCCCAAAGTGCTGGTATTACAGGTGTGAGCCCTCAAGCCCGGCCACCATCTCCCTTTTCAAAAAACCCCCTTCTTTGACAGAGTACAATTTAAATAAGTGTACAATTAACAAAGTACGTTTTTCTTGTTCAAAACCATCACTGGACAGTTTGCAGTAGGGTATGAGTGCGTGACAATCCCGATGGTCTTTACACCTTCAGAGGCTATTTGGACTTAATGAAACGTGCATTTACAGGTGTAAATGTAAAAGCTCAGGAGTTGCCTTTTAAGGTGTTTTTCGGGGATGCGGGGTTTGGAGGTGGTAGGAGTAAGTGGTGCCTCAAATTATATCAATGAATACCAACATTCCCAAACATCTAGCCCTCTGCCTAAACTTACCCAGTCGTGGTCTGTCATTTTCACTATCTTCTTTGTTAATGTTTTCGGCAAAAAACAGTTTTCATGCAGCAGATGGCAAAAAAAGCCGGTGAACGCCCAGGGACGTGGCCTTTTAACTGCACCCAATGAAAGCAGCAAATAGAAGATGAATAGCTGGGTGGATCAGGATGTGTAAACCTATCCGTTTAATCCGGGGAGCTGTTTTCCCTGGTGAAACCACGAATCCTTTCTGGAGGTTGCAACTCGTATCCATAGCAACAGGCCGCGGTCACCGGCTCCCGGATGTTGTGGGGATCTGCGGCCGCCTGGCTCAGCTTCCTGCAGCCGCCCAGCGGCGGCCTGCGCTCCTTTTCGGGAGTCGTAGTTCTTCTCATCATCGCTGCCCGGCAGGAGGCGGGAGCGGAACTACGCGTCCCGGCATGCACTGCGGCGCCCAGTCGGCCACTGCCTGCCGGCTGCGGACGCCTGCGAGCAGGTTGTTGTTTTTATAAGAGGCGTCATTGGCGCCCGAGCTGCGACCGCTGTTGGTGGGGCAGCCTGCGTAGTCCGGCGGAGGTGGCGCTGCCCCTTCAGGTACGGTACTGGGCGGGCTTCGACCCCTGAGAGGGGGTTTGCGCCGACTGTGGGCGTCCCTGGCTGACACCCTCAGTCCAGTCGAGGAGCAGTGGCGGGGTCCGCCTCCTAGGCGGGGGCTGCTCGGGCGTTACTTGACGCTTGGCGACCGCGGCCGCGCGGGCAACGTCTTCGGGCCGCGCGGGCAACGTCTTCGGGCCGCGCGCGAGTCCACAGCTCCGGAGGCCCGAGCTGGCCCTTAGGGCGTCTGGTCCGGTGGTCTTGCAGCCTCCAAATCCTGTGTGCAGTACCTTGTTGCGCGCCAGGGTTGGGAGAGCTGACGGCCTGGAGCACCCGCCTTCCTTCACTGGGCAGGCTTGAGAGTGCTCGTCGGTCTGGACTGTTGAAAATCCATATGGTAAGACGTTATGTGCGTCACCCTGCCGGGTTTAATGCCAGCCTGTCTTTTGGTGACGTTTGAGCTCCCGTGATGTCAGGAATAGAAAGATTAAATATTAAATTATGCCCGGAGACTTCTGTTCGCACGCCAGCTTGACGATGATGAAATACCCCTCCATACCCTTCTCTCGCTCCACTTTAAGCTTTGGTCTTCCTGATCGATTTGTCCTCAGTAGCAGTTGTCCCATGCGGTGCTTTGTATGCATTACTTGTTTATGTTTAGCGCTGTTGGGAGCACCAAGTAAAGTGTTTTGTTGAGTGGTGAAATTTGCACTGTTCTGTTCTGCTTTTATTGAAAAACACAGTGGGGCTTTCTTGTAGCTAGAATAACTGACTATAGTACTACGAATTTTACATTTGTCTCCTCCAATCTGCAGGATAGTGCTTGAAATATCACTATAAACACATCGTATCTTTGGCTTAAGATGATAATCATATTAGGCGCTACATGTCTCGGGATATTTATCACACACATCCAGCGTGGATGGTTTACTATTCTTTTCTGAGCTCAGGTAGCATAGAGGAAGAGATGGAGATGTTGGGGGTATTGTTTTAATTCATAATTTTTTTTTTTTTTTTTTTTTTTTTTTTTGAGACGGAATTTCACTCTTGTTACCCAGTCCGGAGTGCCATGGCGCGATCTCGGCTCACCGCAACCTCCGCCTCCTGGGTTCAGGCAATTCTCCTGCCTCAACCTGAGTAGCTGGGATTACAGGCATGCCCCACCATGCCTAGCTAATGTTTTGTATGTTTAGTAGAGACGGGGTTTCACCATGTTGACCAGGATGGTCTTGATCTCTTGACCTCGTGATCCACCCGCCTCGGCCTCCCAAAGTGCTAGGATTACAGGCTTGAGCCACCGCGCCCGGCTTAATTCGTAATTTTAAACCCTTTTACACTAAGGATGGAATTTCATTCAAAAAAGCTATTAAAAATCAGCCCAAATACAATTTAAAGGTATAGAAGTACACGTTCTTAAATGAAAACAGGTTGGAAAATAGTGTAATTGCAGTTTTGAGAGTAAACCATGGAACAAAAAGTGAACATACCTCTGTATACCTCTATTAGAAATGACGTTAAAGGGCCGGGCCCTGTGGCTCACGCCTGTTAATCCTAGCACTTTGAAGGCCCATGCGGGTGGATCACCTGAGGTGAGGAGTTTGAGACCAGCCGTGCCAACGTGGTGAAACCCCGTCTCCACTAAAAATACAAAAATTGGTTGGGCGTGGTGGTGTGCGCCTGTAATTCCAGCTATTCCGGACCCTGAGGCAGGAGAATTACTTGAACTGGGGAGGCGGAGTTTGCAGGGAGCCAAGATTCGACCACTGCACTCTAGCCCGTATGACAGAGGAAGAATCTGTCTTTAAAAAAAAAGAAAGGAAAGGATAGTCATAGTTATAAAAGTGATTAGTCACTACAAATGATTTTTTCTTGTACTTTACTGTATTTTTCAAGCATTCTGTAGAAAAACTTTAAAAAAAGGATGCAAGTGTTAACAGCATTTTGAGAGTTTGTATACCCTTTTTTCACTTTCTAGTGGAACGTTCCCCACCCCCATGCAAAAGAAAAATACAGCAATTCCAGTTATGAATGCAATGTATATTGCTTTAAAAAGAAAATAAGGGCCTAGTGCGGTGGCTCGCGCCTGTAATCCCAGCACTTTGGGAGGCCGAGGTGGGCGGATCACCTGAGGTCAGAAGTTGGAGACCAACCTGGCCAACATGGCACAACCCCGTCTCTACTAAAAATAGAAAAGTTAGCCAGGTATGGTGGTAGGCGCCTGTAATCCTGGCCTTTTGGGCAGCTAAGGCGGAAGTTGCAGTGAGCTGAGATCACACACCACTGCACTCCAGCCTAGGTGACAAAATAAGATTGTCTCAAAAAAAAAAGAAAAGAAAAAACAATCAACAACAGTAGAAAACACGGAGTCCCTGTTGCTGCATCTGCAGACTGTATGAAAGTGTAAATTATTTGAAGGATAGGGACAAGAAATGAATTAGTTGGACTGGGAAAAAAACCAAATTTGACAATTCGTAGCATTTGTACATCTCATTTTATTTTTTGTAGACGACGTCTGGCTCTATCACCCAGGCTGGAGTGCAGTAGTGTGTGATCATGACTCACTGCAGCCGTGACCTCCTGGGGTCTAGTGATCCTCCCAACCCAGCCTTCTAAGTAGCTGGGGCCACAGACACATGCCACCAGACCTTGCTGGTTTTTTTTTTAAGATGGAATGTCGCTCTGTTGTCCTGGCTGGAGTATGGTGGCACAGTCTTGGCTCACTGCAACCTCTGCCTCCCTGGTTCAAGCATTATTCTGCCTCAGCCTCCGGGTAGCTGGGATTACAGACATGTGCCGCCATGCCAGGCTAATTTTTGTATTTTTAATAGAGATTGGGTTTTGCCACGTCAGCCAGGCTGGCCTTGAACTCCTGGCTTAAAGTGATTCATCCGCCTTGGCCTCCTCAAGTGCAGGGATTACCCAAAGTGCTGGTATTACAGGTGTGAACCACCTCACTCGGCCTAACTTCAATTTTTTTTTTTTTTTTTTTTTTTTTTTTTGAGACAGTCTTGCTGTGTCGCCCAGCCTGGAGTGCAGTGGCGCAGTCTCAGCTCACTGCATCCTCCACCTCCTGGGTTCAAGCGATTCTCCTGCCTCATCCTCCTGAGTAGCTGGGATTATAGGCACACACCACTATGCCTGGCTGATTTTTGTATTTTTAATAGAGATGGGGTTTCACCATGATGACCAGGATGATCTTGATCTCCTGACCTCGTGATCCACTCTCCTTGGCCTCCGAAAGTGATGGAATTACAGGTGTGAGCCACTGCGCCTGGCCCTAATTTTTAAATTTTATGTAGAGACAGGGACTTGCTATGTTGCATAGGCTGGTATCTATGAACTCCTGGGCTCAAGCTATTTTCCTGCCTTAGCCTCCCAGAGTGCTGGATTCAGGCATGAGAGCTCCATGCCTGGCCTATACATCCCATCTTTTGATCTGGTTTCTTTGCACCTTGTATAGTGAAATCAGAGGCAAAAGTGCTTAGCTTTTCTTCACTTAAGGCTGGACAGTTGAATCACTTTGAGTACCATGTTTTATATGTCTGATATTTTGGCTTATGTCTATTTTTGTTTTATTTTTTGATGTGGTTATGTTGGATATGGACTGGTTAGTAGCATAATCCTTGGTTAGCCCACATTTTGTTTCTGTCGTAAATGGCTGCATTGTTCTTTCATAGTAATACACAGTGATTTTTTTTTTTTTTTTTTTTTTTTTTTGCTACTGTCATCCCTTAAAAATTAAGGAGGTTTACCTTAACACCAAGTGTCCATGAACTCTTGATAAAATATCTGTTCTAAAGTGTTTTAGAAAAAGCACTTCAACACTTTGTTGTTTTTCAGGTTGTAGTGTTCACACTTTATTTTCTTAGATTGCCTTTTTTGGAGCTTGCCTTCTCCAAATGTCAATTTCTTTCCAATACTTTTTACTTTATAATTTTGTATATTCTGTGTACTGTGTTGGCTCAATACATTATTAGGCTTTGGTCCATTCATAGGGCATGAGGAAAATTCATAATTGGTTAACATGTCTGATTTACTAACTCCTTCCACAATGTTGTTGTATGGGTTGTATAATTGTATTCTTACTCAAGTTAAATAAAGGTTTTAAAAAATTAGGTGCATATGAACTGCTAAAATCATGGAAGGAGTAGTTTTTGAACATGTTAAGAACATGAACATAGCAGCAAGGCCTGTTAAGCCCAGGGTACTTTAAACAAAAAATGCAGACTCATCTAACAATGCAGAACTGCTAGAGGCTGAATTATTTTTGTGTTTCTGTGTGGTGAAGATGAGGAAGTTGCAGTATTCTAAGTAATAAAGGATTACGTTTTCACCAGATTCTTTCCTGACAGTTCTGTAATTTTGACTAAACTAAAACACTTGGTTTCAAAGGTGATTTGGAGCGTATCGCACCAGATAATCTTGGCCATATTTTCTTTCAACTTGAATTCTAAGATGAAATTCAACCTTGTAATATGGGAAACATTGCAATTAAGTGATAAAGGAATTTTTTCCCCCAAAGGGTATTAAATGTGTGGAAAGCTCTTTAAGGGCCTGTAGAATTATGTGAGGAAGTATTAGCAAATAAGAAGTGTGAGTTAAATATTTTTTTCTGTCATCACAGGAAGCCAGAATTTTTTTTTTTTTTTTTTTAGTACTTCTCCAAATCACTGTTCTTTTAAAACCTTAGTTCTGGTTCATATTGCCACCATGTTGAAATGTAAAAAGAACATTGGATTGGGAATCAGAGGATTTTTAATGATGTTGAGAAGTAATTATTTATAATTTTCTGTTTCCAAAGTTATAATTTTCATTTCCAAATGAAAATGAAAAAGCTGTGTTCCTGC